TGCCATTGGGCAATTGAACGGGTCGCGGGGAAATATCTGTCATGTCAGAAAAATACTCCAGAAAACCCGTCATATGGTGCGAAGCTCCACAATCAAACATCCAATCAAAAAAACGACGCTTACCGGACAAAGGGGGATTGTTGCGAGCGGAAGTTACCAAATGAACAAGGGATTCCCATTGGGAATTAGTAAGCCCGGAAAGGGCAGCCCGTTCCGATTCGCCAAAGGAGGAGGCAGGCCCGTGAGAAGAAGCAGGCCCATGAAATGAACCAGGCCCAAAGTCGCTACCAAAAGCTGCGTTTGCACGCGGGAACCCGCCTCCCCGTCCACCAAAGCGACCGCCACGCCCGGAACGGCCATCCCCGCGCGCCGCTGCACCAACACCGCGTCCTCCAGCCCCCCAGCCCTCAGGATAGCCCACGACCTGGTAGCAGGCAGAGGCAATATGCCCTCTTTTTCCACAGTGAAAACAAGTCAAATTTTTAACCGATCGGCCGCCGCCTTGCGTACCGCTGGGAGAAGAAGTCGCTGCTGCAAAAACCGAGCCGGAGCCCGTCAAATTATTTCCGCCTGCAGCAGTCGCTACCCCACTTCCTGTCGTGGCTGGAACACCACCAGTAGCGGCGGAGCCACCGCCTGCAGTCACCGGTGCGGGCCCGAGAACACCAGAATCCGCCTTGATCGCGAAACCGGCGACATCGGCCGAGGGGGGTACCTGGACAACAGTTCTCATACGCTCCTCTCTCACCATCATAGAGTAAACACGATTGAGAGAGGGCAAAGGTTCGAGAGCTAAAACGTGAGAACGAGTAGTGCTGTAGAAATCACCATCTAAACCCATCAAAAATTGATAAACTTTTTCATTCTCTCTTCGTTTGTCCCATTCAGTTTGCAGGTTACAAGTGCATTTTCCACAATGACATAATGGAGGCTGATTATAATCATTAAGTTCATCCCAAAGCTTGGTAAGACGACCAAAGTAATTTTCAATACTGCTCCCAGATTGTTTACAAGCAGATAAAGCAGTTTTTAATTCCAAAATTCGAGGGCCATTAACGGTGGTGAAACGATCGCGAAGAGAAGCCCATAAAGTATGAATGAAATCTGGTTTCGAGATGGTGGAACGTACCTTGGGGTCGATGGTGTTCATGACCCATGAAATAAGAAGCGAATTATTCACAAACCAATCTTCAAGGAGATCCGAATCTGTCGCCGACCGTGGAATGGAGCCATCGAGAAAGCCATATTTTTTTCGAGCCCGTAACGCCGTTCGCAAGCTACGTGACCATTCATCGTAGTTGGTATCGCCCCGGAGTTGGACATGAGTGATAAGCAAACTGGGATTATCAGAAGGAGAGATATCGTAGGGGGATATTGTGCGGCGAACCACCGCCGTTGTGGCACCATCACCACTCGAAGACTGCTCAGAGGAGGAGGGAGGGACGACCATGATTAAATGTAAAAAAATTCTTGTTATGTCTCTGATACCATGACAAATTAAGAATTGGAGTTGTACTGAAACATCCAACTTGATGTTCAGGAGGCTGAATAGCCATATATTTATACACATATAGATTAGGGTTTACAAAAGCTATCTATGGTAACTAAATTAGTGCTTAACTAAATACAATGCAAGCCACTAACTACTCCTATAATTATGGTATAGATATACATGCCTAACAAGTTCACTTCAAATATGCAACTAAACTACAGCATGCGCAAGTATTGAATTAAATTGCATCTCAAGTCATAACTATTCATAAGGGTTCAGAATATCCAGCAATTCGTAATGCAGAATAGGACATATATGTCAAAGAGTTGGTATGCCCAACTACAAAACACAAAAAGCACAAATTAAACTCCATCTGAGAAATCTTGTTTGTAGCCCTAAAACGGCGGCGAATTTGTGTATCTCTGCGATTCTGGGAGGACTGCATGCACCACAATAAGAAATAATAACGAGAAATATTAGAGACAAGACTGGAATTCTGAACATTGATCAAAGGCAAAATCAAAGACAATCTTTTGGGAATAATTTTTTCATGCAAGTTACGTACTGAGGTTCCTAGCCTGTTTATAAAGCCAACTTGCCAGTCTTTGATCAATCCAGTACCCGACTAAAATGAAAAAGGCTCCCCTTCACAAATCAAAGAAAACAGGTAATCAGGACTATACATGCTTCCATCCACACATCGATATAAACTGTGAAAATTGTAGCTAAATCAACATATTATCGAGTCCAAGCACTTTGGTTATTCTATTCACAACCTAACAGCAACAATCAACACGTAAAAGAAGCATCATAATAACGAGTCTGTTTAAGCATCCACAATGACCAATTAATTTGAAGAAAACTACTTGTCATGTGAATAGAATATTATGTAAAGAGAAACCAACCTCATTATATCCACGTCCTCTTTGCCCGAGACAAATTCATCCAACAAGGGATCTCCTCTAATAAAAGCCACCCTATTAGCAAACGTGGTGCTCTCCTGCACATTATCTATCTGCGCCAGCACGTTTACAGCCCAGACAAGATCGTGACCCTCCTAAAAAATTCTCGCGAAACCTTGGTGAACGTGTTGGTTTTTCAAAAGCTCGATCGCTTTTTCAGCATGCTTGTTTTCATCATATGGAAGGGCCTCCAGAAGTTCTTTTGCTGATGGGATGAGTTCGGGATGTTCTTTTACGAGGAGCCGGACCATATCCAAGAGCTCCTCCTCCGCCTTCTCCTGCACCATATACATACATACAAGGACATTCAGTAGAATTAAGAAATCGCCTGTAAAATCCCACGTCAATACTAATAAACCAAATGAGCATACTGTTTTAAGTATCACGGCAAGAGGAGAAAAAAGATGATAGTTCTCTTCATCTTCCGAGCGCTCCTTATACACTTGGTCGTCGTCGTCATCATCACCAGGATAGTACACTTGGTCGTCGTCGTCGTCGTCATCGTCATCTCCAGGATAATAGTCATAGTCATGCAGAGGCTCACTTGGCTCAAGCTGGGCTTCTTTTGATTGAGTTCTCTAAAAATTTCGAGTAAACCATCAATCAAACATCACAAAACACATCATACATACGTAACAACAACAAGAACAAGACATGGGAAAGTTTTTGATTGGGAATTCCAATCCATCATCATCCACGGAAACAGACACAATACAAAAGGATTACACAATCAAACACAATATTATTTATCCATAGCTTCAAGGAAGAGTTAATTTCAACCCCAAATCAGATACATCGAGAGTTGATTCAACAGTAGCAACTAATTGAATATTACATACAATAAGAATCAAAGTAACAACGCTCACACACCAGAGCGAACATTGTTACGAATAGACAGAGAGTACAAATTGCATCGCCCTTCGGATTCTCCATATTCATACTTCTCACAGAACTTTGGGCTTCCTTCAAACAATCGATTGTGGGCGTCTGTAGAGTAGATAGCCTGAGCTGAGGCTGGGGCCTTTATTTAAATTGACCTAGGAGAAATACTGCAAATCTCTCTCATCTACCATTATTTCCTAGTACAAATACCCATGTCCGTGTATTACACGAGTGCTTGTTAAAAAATTATTCTTAAATTTTCAAAATTAATGAGAAATATTATTTTGAATTTTATTTCTTTTTTACAAAAAAATATATTATTATATATTTTAGAATGACAATGTTAGTTGTGCGACTTACATGTGTTATATTATAATAATTTTTATAATTTATATCATATAACTACTTGAAATATAAATATGTTAATTGATAAATAATTTAATTTTTCTAATTAATATTAAAAAAATATATTATTGTTATAAAGATAAATATAATATATTTTTTTTATACATACAATATGGATGTTAAATCGAAGCTCATCAAGAGATGATTAATTTGTTATATTATATATGTAAAACTGATAAAAAAAATACAAAAGTTATTAACTTTTAAATAGATTTTCAATAGTTATAATAAGAAATGATATTAAATGCAATTAATACATGTAACATGACCATAAATAATCTACAATTTATGAACAATCTGAACCTAGTTATTTTTGAATTGGAAATAAATTAAAATATATTCAAGCCTAATAAGGAACCATATAATATTCTCACATAGGAACCCGAAGCATGCGAGCCAGACACTTTAGCTAAGCACATTTTGAATTAATAATTAGGGAGAATATTTAACATCTTATTGTTGCAAAAAAAGAAATACAAAATATAAGAATATATATATATATATTATTTATTTGAATATAATGAGTATCCCAACCAAAACAATAATATTTAACACATGATATATGATAAAATTAATTATTGTACTTCTTAGGTGACATACAATTTTTTGTGATTAACCCAAAAGCATTGTGATGCTCAAAGTCACTTGAACAAAATTGTTTCTAAACAGGAAGCTGTATCTGTATGTCTTTTGTGATTTTTGAAATGAAAACCAGAAAAAATTTGTAGAGGTTTTACAATGCCTTTTCTCAGATCATCTGAGAAACTAAAATTAAGACTTATGCAATGTTTATGAAAGAGATCAAATTATGCAACAAAAGCCAAAAACAAGATATGAAGAAAACATTATTACCAGTCTAAAGAATGTAATTCATCACCACAATATACAACAAAAAAAAAAAGGCTTCTGTTATAACTGCAAACAAAAAGAGGAACAACAAACACATGCCAAACACAAAACCGAGCAAAATAGATCCTAATTAGGCGGGCGAACGTAGCCCATGATCGTAAAATACGTTTGAGCCACCGTGAGCACGAGCAGCACAAACGCCGCCAATGCCGATATGAACGACCACGGCGTGTTAAAATACGTGTACTTGAAACTCGCCCACTGAACGTGCCAATGATTGTTGTAATAATCGTTGACCTCGTTAAACAAACCCGACAAATAGCAGGCGTCGATGTAAAACGACACGTCCCTGCCCAAATTGTTGACGAACGCCGCCACGTCAGCATCCGTGCCCATGTAGTTCTCGAGAATGTTCCGGTCGCACAAATGCTCCACGTCCCGTGCCGTGTTCACCAAGCAATCTAACAAAGTCGCGTAGGTGGTCACGTGCTTCGAGCAGTGCTTGTGGCACTGCTCGTAAGCCACGCAGTTCAGTAGGAACGTGCACATGAAGTCGTCAATCGTGATCGTGGGCATCTCGATTACGCCGCCGCGCTTGAATTTTACGGCAAGGAAGGTGTCGTGTTTCGGGCCGGGCCGGAGCTTGATCCCGGCCCGAATGAGCTTGGAGATGCAGGGGATGACGTGGGTGTTCGTGTAGCGGGTGTGCTCGGGCTCGTCGTAGCCTTCGGGGATGAGGCTCAACCGGAGTAAATCGAGGAGGTGTTTTCCGG